TGATGATTACGAACTTGGCTTGACCATCTTTGAATCTTATCATACGATATCGAATATAAACGTATCAAACAATAAATTTTATTTTAATGAAAATGGCAGGGAAATTTCAACAATTAAAAAATGATGATTGACATTTTGAACATTGGAAGTAGCCCGATCTTTGACGATCGCATCATCAAGATCGATTGTATATACTTTTTTTTCAAAAATTTAGTTGGGAAGAAGAAGTAAACGAAAGAAGAGACATTAATATATTTAAAAAAATGTTTATAATAAAGTTTAAAAATGTTTATAATAAAGTTTATAATAAAGGTTTACAACTATCTCTGGTACTGAGACCACTAATTAAATATTTTTAATACATTCTGTAAAGCACAATGCTTAATGTGATTATTACATTGTAAAATATTGGTTGCATCCAGTTTGTCTAAGGAATCTATATCCTCGTATAATTATTTTTTACATTGTCATCCAGAAGATTTGCCAACCATTTTCGCTTTTCACACCCCTTTACGTATACGAGTCTGGGGACAACGTCTTCATGTTCTATACCGTATTATTTGCCAACCACAGCTGTCGTAATAAAATGCTGTATGCAACGATCTCGTCATCCATCGTAGTCCATGATGATTAGTCATCAGCCAGTATGCTCTCGATTTGTCAAATTTTGTGAGAAGATGCCATGATATAAAACTAGTAAAGATATAATGAGAGAAAACAGATTTATTCCTAAATATCGCTACTTCCTTTACAATGAAACTCTTTCCAACGATGAATACTTGTAAGTCCACAAACGTTGGTACGATCATAGCGAAGTATTCTTCGATACGTTCGGGAAACAAATGTCGTGTATAGCCTTTTGATGTTTTCTATTATTCTTTTCTTATGTTTCCAATGTTAGTTGATTTTATGCACTAAGTTAGTTAGTGGGCTGTATTTAATTATACGATCATGTAAGATCAGACAATATGCGGTAATATTCGCTGGTATATTCTCTCTACACTTAAATTCTATCCGCACATCTACAATGACAGATTCGGTTTGACGCAACAATCGATAACCAAGGAGCAAGGAAAGGATCTTGCTCCAGAAAGTCGATAGTTGTTAACTATATTTCAGCACTGTTACATCCATAATACGATTTGCGGAAACAGTTGTGCATATCATAAAGTATTGCAAATCTATTTTTTTACAAAATCCAAATTCATGTCATCGTATGGATAACACTCTGAATTTAGATAGAGCTTCACGTTGGTCAAATTGCAGTTGTCGAATTAAGATATATTTTCCGACATGACATTTTTTCGACTAGTCTGCAGGGTAAAGATAACGTATCGCGGTTTTTCCAAATTAGTGGCTGTTTTGACGGTCCACAGATGTTTAGTCGTGCTTTGCAGTAGAGGAAATTCATACAGATCCCATGAGAAAAAACTCATACTCAGGTATCGACCATTCTCCAAAGTTCTCAGCAGGGCAAGTTTATTGATATCATTCAACATTACATGAGAAATTCGCCATTGTATCTTGAATAGCTTGATTTTAGGTTGCAACACTGAAAATCCAAGTAGACTGTTGTTGTCACTGCGCGACTGTAATAAAATTAATTCGTGACTCGCATTAATTACTATACGCTTGTAGTCTTCGCAGAATCCTAGCAGCATGCTAAGCGATACGCAAAAGTTGAAATATCCATCTGGCGAAATAACGTCAGTCGTATCCCATGTAGCATTTTTCATGATAGCATTTTTGTCCGAAGATAATGATACATAGCTTTTGAGCGTAGAAGTTATTCCCACGTTTCTGTTACGATCAGTCTCTGCATCATCCAGTTCGTAACGAATCTCATCAAACATAAATGCAACGCAATTATGTCTCAATGTTACGGTCACACCATCGGCTATCGCTTGTTTTGTTATCTTCCCCTCGACATAGAGATAACTCTCATATAGTAACGTGTGCAAATCCTGCTGTTATATGGATATTCATATCTCATCGCTATGTCTAAACGTTGTGTTAGCGTATGGATTGTACGTGTGTGTTTCACAGATCGCAGGGTCGATAAAAATTAACAAATATGTCGGTAAAGAAAATTAAATATGCCCGTAAAAAAATATGTTGATAAAAAAATACCGGTAAAAATAAATTACCGACCATCGGTAAGTTGCCCTGCCCCGTATGCCGTTATCTCCTGTGCCCGCAGTTCTTCTCACTCTGCACCCCTCCCCTTCAGAGGTCCTGAGTTTGAACCGGCCTAGTATATCTACTGATAATGATAGAATTTATACGTTAGTTTCTTATAGAATACAAAATCGTGTATAACCAAAGAAAATACGATAAAATACAGTAGAATTTATATCTAAATTTGCGAGCGAGAATAATACAGCTTAAAGAAAACGATTCAAATTGATAACGCTATCAATTTAAACTTCACACCAATAGACAGAGCAGCAGCGTTGTGTACGTTAGAAGAAGGCGCATGGACGGGACGCTTTTCGCTGCGACGTGCACGGGCACATTTTTGCAGCACTGCAAGAGAGCACTCGAGTCGCTGAAGTTGCTCGAAGCCTAACGCGTTTCAATTGGTCCAAAAACGTAAGATGATGGGCGGTGAGGAGAAAAACAACGCGCCACTTCCTATACTTATATTGCTACGCTACTACGTCTTGTCTTGACGCGATGCGGCAGCGATATAAGTACAAGCAGTGGTACGTTATTCTTCTCGTCGCGCGCCGTCATCCGTTTCTTGATCAATTGAAACGCGCTAAGTCTCGAGCAACTTTAGCGAGTACTCTTCTTTTTTCAACGTAATTTTCTAAAATTAATTTAATTAATTAATTTCTCGAAAACCATTGCAAATATGGTAAAACAGTATTATGAAACCTTCTTGCTTTCGCCAAGTTTAAGAATGATGATCTTGGACACTCTATACATACTCTACAGTATGTTCCAGACTTTCCTCCGCATTTTTTGTGAGAACGTAACCCTTGAGGAATGTCCCTCCTGGGATGCGGAGCGCCGAGTCCTGGTCTGAGTGGTGGGGGCGGACCTGTCTCTCCCGGTCCTTGTCAGGGCCATGGTTGAGGGAGAAGAGGGCTGGTCTGTCATCACCTCCTTCTGCGACACGGTCATGTTGCAGAAGAAGGAGCACGAGAGAGAGAGAAGGAGCGGAGCGGCCCCCCGGGACGGGGAGAGGCGCCGTAGAAGAAGGAGAACGGCGCCTCTCCCATCCGCGCATCAGCGCGAGATAGAAGGGCGGCGCACCCGTGGGCGGGGAGGGGACGTCACTGTTGGCGTTCCCTCCCTCGGGGTACCTGCGGGTGCGCCACCGCCCCCTCTATTTCCCCCGGGTCCTCCTGGCGGCGATCGCCCAGAACCCGGGGGGG